TTTTTTGGTTAACATGATGCTGTATTTAATTAATCAAAAATTTTAATCAATTGAGCATTGGGATATGAGGTGTGGGTATGGGTGTGGATGTACTTGTTCTCCTCATTTACTACTACACCTGCACCTTCCACACTCCTACATGAACATCGATATCCACACCCTTTTATTAAGAATATAGTCAATCAATCAAATATATTTTGTTTTTAAGAGTTCCTTCAAAACCTGAAGGCAAAAAAAGGTAATAATATAGGATTCGACTTTTATTTTTATTTATAATGTCATTCGAGTGACGATAAATGTAACTTTAATCACTTAGAGATGAAATATTAATGTTCGTCATCACAGAAAATGGAAGAGAAAAATATTGTGATAAAGCTCTTGATGATAAGTTAGATATCTTTATGTTTTACTTAGGGAATTAGATATGAGGTCATTGTGTCAATATTATGCATCGAAGAGAACACAAAACAAAGAGAACAAGCAAACAGCAAAAAATATGAGAATGATGTCCGAGACACCACGCTACCCTTTTGATGATGTATTTGCTTCTTTGCATATTAAACTCTTGTATCAATATTATTCATTAAACAGAAGGTAAAATAAAAAGAACATGGAGACAACAAAAAAAAAGACTGTATTGTTTTTTATCTCACACACAATATTTCAACTGTCGATTTATTTTATAGATAGATACACAGCTCAAATTGTAGTATTAAAGTATAACCTGAATACTTCTATATCACAATATATGTGTAGATCTAAACAAAACATTTTGAATGGCGACACATAAATATTTGACAATTGATCCATTGGGTGAATCGACATCTACTCGTTGTTATAAAATCCGTGAGAAGATATTTTCGTTGCGTAAAAGTAACAAGATTAAAGACGAATTAGATCAACCTGTTTTCAATGTTCGATCAAAATTAGCATTTGCTGATAATCTTCTTATTGAAGATATTGCTGGAAAGTGAGTTCATCTTACAATTACATCTTATTTATAATTTCTATGGAAACACCTTACCATAGGCGGCAGAATCATTAGGCTTGTGGAGGTGCGAGAGTTTCAAGAGGCTCAACTCGGCCCATGTTTTTGGGAGAGCCTGTAACAACATGATGATAAACTGAATAATTAGATTTTTTTTCAGAAAATAATTGAAAAGTAAGGCACTTTCGACGGCTATTAGCATCAGAAATTCTAAACCATGCTACAGTTACATCAGACAACACCACGAAAAATGAGTTAACAAATAAAACTCAGTGATTTTTTGATTTTTCGCGTACTCTAACAGAGAAGAAATAGAAAAGTGAATGCTTCGAAGTGTAGAAGCACACGTATTAACGCATTAAAAAAATATTTCTTCCACGACATTATTCTCTGAACACTACCATTCACATCTTTCTAGCTTGTTGTACATAAAATCAAAATTTGGTCCGAACAACTCTTAGCACTCTTATGACTTAGATACTCGTATTAACCGTTGAAAAGTCACCAAGAATTGATAATCATTTCAATTATCGTATTTAACATTCTGCTTGTAAAAGATCTGGTTATCGTGAAATTGTGAAACATAGTGTTAACAATACCAGAAAGAGATTCCTGACAGAATCTTACGAATACTAAAAGTCAATCATTAGCTCTTTTTCATTCTTGAGTCATCATTTGAAATTTTTTTGAGCCTTCTCTAAATTGACGGTGTTTCGCCGCCTAAAATCAAGCCGCTAAACAATATTCACAGATATTAGTAAACCTAAGAAAAATGCATTCAAACTAACTCGATATGATAGGCAAACATAAAATTCACCAGTTGTTCGCTGAAATATTCCTTGGACAACTGAAACAAATGTACTCATGTTTGCAAGATTTTATTAGATAACCCATTCTTCTAGCTTTAATGAATTTCATAGATTTCTGAGTACTCATTATTTTTCTAAAGAGCACTATAGTGTTTCTCTCGTTAAATATTCACCTAGCTTTTTCAATTACTTCTCAAACAGTAACGAAACATATATGTGTAACAATATAAAATTGGTAACTAAAATAAATAGTATATAGTCAAAATATCAATAGTTGGATATCTTGTTTTATAGACGAAAAGGAAAAAATCAATTGAATACAATAGATCAATTCATAATCGGACGAAAATTCGATCGAACAGAAACCGTTAATATACATCAATGGTCTGTATAATCATCTATGCTCTGTCACATCTTTTCATTTAATATTTGAGAGATTTGTTAACATGAGATCAAGTCCTTCTTTCATCTAGTAGTTATATTTTCTTCATACTGATATAGTGCAAATATAGTTGAGATGAATTAGAACTGATTGTTTTAATAGTCCATATCGTTATTTATCCTATATTGTGTTATTTGATAAAGACTGCTATTTTTATTTTTAGTGGTTTGATAAAGATTAAGGAAGAATTGCTTCATCTGCATACAACATACAAAATATTGTCGGCACGTGATGGTGAAGTTGGTCGCAAATTAGCAGTGGTCAAGCAGAAATTTGCGTTACATGAGAAATGGTCAATAAATTCAGTCTATGGGGAATATAAATTAGAAGCACTAGATTTGGTGGGTCACTCGCTCACATTGACAAAAGAAGGACGGGCAGTAGCTGTTATCAAGAGGAAATATTTCACTACGGCCGACTATTATAGAATAGAAATCGATGCTGCTGAAGATCAGCCATTTATTATAGCCTTGATAACTATTACGAATCAAGCACTCTACTCTTTTAAAGTTCCTATTTTTTATGTTCCTACTTGAAGACAATTTAACTCACATTGGATTTAATGTAAAGTCCACAAAAAACTAAAAGTAAACAAGAAAATATAGCTGCTCTGATTTGTCTTGATGTTTTTTTTTGTGTCTAATGATAATTAAATAGACGTGAGTCAGGATCTTATCCTTTCTCATTTTGTGATCAAAATGAATATATTTACTGAATTAATACATTTTGTATTAACTTACTTTTGTGAAATACATATCAACTATCGAATAAAAGGACAGAAAAATGACCAGAATAGGGTGTGGGTGTGGGTGGAGTGTGGGTGTGGGGTGGGGTGGAGCAGTCATCCTATTCCGCGATGTTCAACATCGTGCAATCGATTCCGCGCCCGGAATTGAATCCGACGATTCCGGAACTGCATCCAACCACAACTTCAATCGATTCCCACAATTCCGGAACCACATGCTCCCAAATCCGGATCCGGAATTGCAAGCCACGATTCTGGATCCAGAATCCTTAAGTAGCATCCCTTCTTGCCCTCACCCACACATTCGCTATAGTCCTGAGAACAAGCGAGCGATTCCGCAGAGGAATTCCCGGAATTGAATTGACACGGAATCAGTAGGAATTCCGGAATTGGAAGAAGCGACTCCGGATCCAGAATTGCAGGCCACGATTCCGAATTCGGAATCCCTAACTAGCATTCCTTCCTGCCTTCACCCACACATTCGCTATTGTCCTTAGAACAAACGAGCGATTCCGCAGAGGAATTCCCGGAATTGAATTCACACGAGGAATTCCGGAATTCGAAGAAGCGACTCCGGATCCGAAATTGCAAGCCAAGATTCCGGATCCGGAATCGTAGCTTGCAATTCCGGATCTGGAGTCGCTTCTTCCAATTCAGGAATTCCGCGGAATTCCTACTGATTCCGTGTCAATTCAATTCCGGGAATTCCTCTGCGGAATCGCTCGCTTATTCTAAGGACAATAGCCAATGTGTGGGTGAGGGCAAGAAGGGATGCTACTTAAGGATTCCGGATCCGGAATCGTAGCTTGCAATTCCGGATCCGGAGTGGCTTCTTCCAATTCAGGAATTCCTACTGATTCCGTGTCAATTCAATTCCGGGAATTCCTCTGCGGAATCACTCGCTTGTTCTAAGGGCAATAGCGAATGTGTGGGTGAGGGCAGGAAAGAATGCTAGTTAGGGATTCGGAATCCGGAATCGTGGCTTGCAATTCCGGATCCGGAGTCGCTTCTTCCAATTCCGGAATTCCGCGGAATTCCGTGGAATTCCTACTGATTCCGTGTCAATTCAATTTCGGAAATTCCTCTGCGGAATCGCTCGCTTATTCTAAGGACAATAGCCAATGTGTGGGTGAGGGCAAGAAGGAATGCTAGTTAGGGATTCCGGTTGCGGAATCGTTGCTTGCAATTCCGGATCCGGAGTCGCTTCTTCCAATTCAGGAATTCCGTGGAATTCCTACTGATTCCGTATCAATTCAATTCCGGAAATTCCTCAGCGGAATCGCTTGCTTGTTCTAAGCACAATAGCCAATGTTGAGGGTGAGGGCTAGAAGAAATGCCAGTGAGCAATTCCGGAATCTAGCCGGGTAATTCCGGAATCAGTCCGATTAATTCCGGAATTGATGCGAGAAATTCCGGAATTGATTGTAAGTGGGGTTGATCCGGTTCCGGAATCGGTGGAATTAATTCCGGGGGCGGAATCGATCCCGCAATGTTTAACATCGCGGAATAGGATGTATTCTCGTGGGGTGTGGGTGTGTATAGGATTTATTTAATAGCACAAGCTACTTACGACTAGGGATGTGCAGTTTCAGTATACTGATCACCGATAAAGTCACACTGGCGTTCACTGGTACACTGATGACACTGACACTGGTGTTCACTGAATCAGTGCATACGCTGACACTGGCGTTCACTGAATCAGTACATACACTGACACTGGCGTTCACTGAATCAGTACATACACTGACACTGATGTTCACTGAGTCAGTACATACACTGACACTGATGTTCACTGAATCAGTACATACACTGACACTGGTGTTCACTGAATCAGTGCATACACTGACACTGACTGCACTTATTGCACTGACGCACACTGGAACACTGACGTACTGATACTGATTTCCATTGACTAGGATTTATACACAGAAGACGACGACATATTCCGCTTGTAATATGTAGATTAACAAAAAGTTTTCATCGAATGGAAGCATATCTGCTTAGCAGTTCGGTTTCTTGATTGAGATAAGCTACATACACTTTTAGGTACATACACTTTTTTCACCATTGCATAAAAAGCTGTTAGCGCAACCCCTTGCGGGATTAAAAATGTGAAACACGATGTAGCTACTGCTTCCAATGTTCTAAAAACAGTTGTTTTCTATGCATATTGGCGTACATTTCTTGATCATGCCTAACTTTACATTACAGAGCTTGAACAGGATAATACTACATATATGCTCCAATCATATATTAGCTATGCATTATCTCTGATATTTCCTTGAAGTCTTCTATCACAGTCTATGATGACTCCTGAAGGCCATCTGTTAGAGTCTATGATAGGTTCAAAGCCCTGTCAATCACGGTCTGTGATGGCTCCTAAAGGCCATCTGTTAGAGCCTATGATAGGTTCAAAGCCCTGTCAATCACGGTCTGTGATGGGTTCAAAGCCCTGTCAATCACGATATGTGATGGGTTCAAAGCCCTGTCTGTCACGGTCTGTGATGGTTTCAAAGCCCTGTCTGTCACGGTCTGTGATGGGTCCAAAGCCCTGTCTGTCACGGTCTGTGATGGGTCCAGAGCCCTGTCTGTCACGGTCTGTGATGGGTTCAAAGCCCTGTCTGTCATGGTCTGTGATGGGTTCAAAGCCCTGTCTGTCACGGCCTGTGATGGGTCCAGAGCCCTGTCTGTCACGGTCTGTGATGGGTTCAAAACCCTGTCTGTCATGGTCTGTGATGGGTTCAAAGCCCTGTCTGTCACGGTCTGTGATGGGTCCAGAGCC